ACACTTGTATGAGCCGGCCTCGGGACTCTGTAGACCGGCCGGGCGCGACCTATGTATATAAAGGGACAACCCGGCGGCGGTTCAGGACAAGAAACAACAACTCGAGACCCAGGCAAAGCGTATTTGCTCCCTGATCATCGAAACCCATCAATTCCATCACAACTAGACGTAGTCTTTTACCTTCACCGAAGGAGCCGAACTAGTATGAACAGAGTACGTCCGTGAGTTGGAGTTGTTCTAATAAAACCTTTCATGTGAATCATGCATCTCTCAGAAAAAAGAAGAAGAATCACTAATGCACGAAACATACGTACATTAACTCCAATCCTATCAAATTCAAATTGTAACGTGTATAGTCCTATCAGTCATCGCTCCCTAGCTTGAACAGTGACCACTCACTCACTCCCACCCGTCGACTAGTTGCATTTGGTACCAGCAAGTCACCAACAAATCAGTGGCGCATCCCATTTTTGTTTGTTGCATTTGGATCCCTTCCTCGCGGCTGGCTGTCGGAGACGAGCAACGCCATGTTTACACGTTGGATAGCTGCTCTACTCCTAGATCGGCATGAGCGAGCTCTGGACACGTTCGTTCCGGGGGAGGCGACCGACGTCAACGGCAACGAAAGCAACATGAAAATGTATCGTTCGTTGTTCTTGGAAGTTGGAAGAGACCAGCCACGCTGTGCGTCAAACGTGGCCTCTTCGAGACACAGTGCCAACAAACATCCCACAGCGATTTGTATAGGATGTGGCTAGTTCTTAGTGGAATTAGGCTTAACCAAGTCTCAGTCGAGTGTTAAAACATGTATGAAAGAGAATAGACTTTTTTACACAAATCTTAATGTAAGATCTCACGATATAGCATTGACAGAACATAAACCATATGCGGATTACTTTTAGTAAGACTGTTTTTTATAAACAGAAACAACGATAAACCATATGAGGACTACTCAGAAACACGTGAAACCCATGACCACACGATAAACTTGACAAACATAACCGGCACGCAACGACCACATCGTCCATACTTGTACACCGCAAACAAGCCCCCAATAAGAATGCTTCGGCTGAAAGCAGCAGTCACTACCAAATCCATGGAGATGAGCCAAACCATGAGGTCACCAGTGAGTTCACCTTCATATGCTCCACCAACACAGGCGAAGCAGGACACAAACATAGCTCCCAAAGCTCGGTTATGATAGCCACGAGCACGGTGGTAGACTCGCTCTCAAAGATACACTCCCTCTACGCATAGCGCTGCGTAGCATCGTCCTATATATATAGTTGCACTAATAGAAGGGTCAGAGAGCATTGTTTTCTTATTGCAGACAAGAAAATTTTCTCAGTCTTGTGGTTATTGCGCCAAGTCTTTCGCTATCGACGTTGACATGCATGTTCGAATCCCACGTCTCCTAGAATAATGGTGAAGATATTTTTCTTCTCCTTTGATTTATGACCAGGTTGCTAGGCCGGCACGCTACGCGTTGTGTGCGAGCACCAGCAGCATTAAGCGGCACTGAGAACGCTGAATAAGAGCTCTCGACGTCGCTTTCGTCATAGCATGCGATACTCCCTGTTTCGACACGCACAGGCGTCAAACAGATGAGACGATACAAAAAGGGCGAGCTCTAACGGGCCGGCCCAGTAAGTGAGATCTGTAGCGACTAGCATAAAAAAAATAGCAGCGGGTTCACTGACAAGTTTTATTGTCTTTTCCGTCCTGATTTTTTTACCTTTTCTTTTTGTATAGTTTTATGTACTATAAATATTTTTATCATATAAGATTGAAAAAACATGCTGAAATTATTTTTCAATATACAGTGAACAGTTTTTGTAATATACGTTGAAAGTCTTATTAATATCCGATGAACACTTCTATAATACATGCTGAACTTTTTGTAACATGCGACAAACATTTTTTTTAAATGCAGTGAACTTTTTTGTAATATACGCTGGAAAATGTTTAGATACAGATTGAACATTTTCTTAAATATGCGATCAACATTGTGTCTTCAGGTTGGATCCTTCCAATCTATGCTACTCTTCAACGGCGGCAATTGCTGTTTTTGTGCGCTGGTCCTATGGGTGTTTAGCACGACGACTTTCCGACTGTCTACTACAATAAGGTTTGCCCGGCTCCAGCAAAGGAGGGACGATTACCGCGGCGCGCTACAGTGCTTGCAGTCGACGCTAGGTGGTCCGCGAATTTGGATGTAATTTTTATTATTTGTAGTATTCGTTGTACTAATATGATTGAAGTTGAATACATAAGACCTTTTAAAAAAAAGCATTATTATAATGTTCGGTGAACTTTCTTGTAAGACATGGTGAACGTTTTCTTAATATAAGATGAACATTATTGTATTGTGCAGTGAACTTTACGACGAAAGAAAGAAGAAAAGAAATACAAAGAAAAAATATAAAAGAAGTGCAAAAAAAAAAGAACCCGGACGAAAAATGGAACAAGCCCAACACAACACAGAACGTTATTGTCTTCTAGAACACGGGGGGAGAACTTGCGGTCGTGCAGACAGGGACGCCTGCCTGCCGACCTGCCCGCCCAACCACCGGATGCGCTTGGGCGAACACAGACCAAGTTGCAATTGCAAACCCCCACGACCGATGTCAGAATCAGATGCTGATTTTAATTAGGGAGGGAAGGGAAGGGAAGGGAAGGGAAGGGAGGGATCAAGACAGCAAGTCGACGTGATTCACGGGCGCATCGTCCTAGTCACGAAAACAACAGATGCCACGACCGTGAGCCTTTTTTCTTTTTCCTCTTGTCTTTCTCTCCTGCTTCCACGTCGAATCATCACAGCCGGACGAAAAAACTACTCTACAAAAGTTGTTCTTCTTTCTATCCTACTGTTTGGAAGCAGCTGTCCGTCTGGTGACCGTTTATTCAGTCAGTTGTCGCCTGTCCTCTCGGCCTCAGCAGAGTCGTATTAGTATAGCTCGTGTGTGGTCAAACCACGCGAAAACCTCCATCGGATGAACAATTGAGCACCGGGTTGACACGTACTAGGAGTAGTAGTATTACTCTTAGACGTTGCTTTTGCTGTGGTTTTGCGCCAGGATGTTTTTATTGCATTTTTTTTCCTTTTCGTTATCTTTTTCTTTCTCTCTGTGTGTGTGTTGATACGCGGTCAGGGAACCTCGTCAAGAATTTAAGTGCAGCGACAGTAGTTGCCAGGACGGTGGCTTCGAATCGATCCTTGTATTTGTTTTTTGTTTTCTTAGGTTCTATGCAATAGTATAATAAAATGATTGTACGCATCTCTTTGATGCAGAGTCTGGGGTATTCCTCCTTTTTGAAAAAAGATAAAAAAGGAAAACAATATTTTTCTTTCTGTGAAAAAGACCCTCGAAGACTAATAAGAAGTAATGAGCGCCAAAAATATAGTGAAAGTTTCATTGAGAACCCTACGCCACCGAACAATTACTATGGTTGCCAAAACCAGCCGTCAAAGCACATTTGCCATCGCTACCTTACTGGAGCCTGCTTGACCTTGTCGGTGACAGTTAGCAATTCTTTGTGCATGTGCCTCTAAGGACCGGCGTTCCCTAGCCACATTTGTCGCCACTAAACTCTTGAAATGATCTAAAGCGTTCGACACCAAATTTTATCGTCGGGTACACCCGACAAGAAATCCTAACCTCGTTGCCTCAACAAGACGACACAAATCTATGTGAACTCTGTCCTGATGAACGAACTTGACGTGGAACGGACTTCGGAAGACCAGCTTGAATATGAAACGCCGCCATTTGCTCGGAAGACCATACGAGAAAGAGAGAAAATCCTAACTCGAACTACTAGCAAGAGCCGAGGCACCGGGATCCCCTCCTCGCCACCGGACGGCTAACAAAGAAGCTTGGAGTTCCATCTTTTGATGGTGGAACCCGTTCTTTTATGGGGCCGTATGAAATAGTAATAGGAATCTTGCTTGGGTTCGGGTACATGTGTTCTTTACATAAAGAGCGTTGACATTCAAGTAGGATGCACGGCGTCCTGTTCATAATAACCGTAAAAATTGTTGCGAAGCAGAGCGATGTCCCGCTTCTCTGAATCTGCAGAGAGATTCGCCAGTAAAATATTTCGGTTGAGTTGGTTCTCAGGGCACGAACAAACTTGGAGAACACACTGATCGCGCATGTTAACACCAGTGTTGACCAGTACGTGTTGCCCTAGGCCTACTGCCAACTTTGTTGATGCTCTATGATGCCTGCTTGCAGACATGCACGCGGTAGTTGGTCACTGATCTCTGCGTCTCAAAATAAGTGTCGCTGATCTAGTACAACTTTGATATAAATGTCGCTGATCTATATTGTACTAGGTGAGGAGAAGACCGAAACTTTGTAGAGCTAGCTGCCTTTCCTTCACCATCACCGGCCTGCGATGTGTGATGTGTATGTGTATGTGGTTCTTGGTCATCACACGCACGTCCAGGTGCACTTGTATCCAAAACCGCCCGTCCTTGTCCCGCCTCACAAAAGCAGCCACCGCACCGCACTAGAAAAAATAATCAAATCGTTCGCACCTCTCCATCATCCAAATCGCATCCCTTCTCCTCCTCCTCCTACACGTACGCTGGTGCCCCAGCTGGAACCAAAATCCGCGTTAAATTCGTGAACTCTTCTTCCGTGCAGCGTGCGTGCGTGTGTGTGGCCTCAAAGCTCAGCTCGGCTGGTGCTAGCTTGCTTCGAACGTTCGTGAACTCTTCTTGCGTGCGTGCGTGGTCGTGTGGCTGAGAGCTTTGCTCTGGTGCTTCGATCATGGCGGGCGTGGCCGTGGCGCCGGTGCTGCTGCTTCTGCTGCTCGCCGTCGCGGGGCTTCCGGCGGCCGGGGGGCTCGGGGTGAACTGGGGAACGATGGCGTCGCACCAGCTGCCGCCCAGCACCGTGGTGCGGATGCTGCAGGACAATGGCATCAAGAAGGTGAAGCTGTTCGACGCGGACGCTGAGCCGCTGGGCGCGCTCGCCGGCTCCGGCATCGAGGTCATGGTGGCCATCCCCAACAAGATGCTCGACATGATGACCGACTACGACACCGCCAGGGAGTGGGTGCACAAGAACGTCAGCGCCTACAACTTCGGCGGCGGCGTCAACATCCGGTCAGCACCTCCGCTCCTCCTCTATCCATGATGATCCTCTTCCCTCTTGCTCTTTGATTCACAATCTCGGATGCAATTTGCTTATTCTGTTTTCATACCTGTTCACTGATGCTTCTGTTGTCATCATGTTATAATTGCAGTTTTAATTACTCCCTCAGGCCTAAAATAAGTGTCTCAGCGTTAGTTACAATTTTGTACTTTAGTTACTTCTTCCCTTCCAAAATAAGTGTCTCAATTTTAATATAACTTTATACTACCTCCGTCTCGGTGAATAAGTCATTCACGTAGTTCTAGGTCGACAATTTAACTATCTAAATATGTATTATACGTGATAAAAAATATATATTTAGAAACTATATCCGTGTAGAAATCTTGTGATATATTTTTTATGACATATACCACATATTTAATGCCTTAAATCGATGACCTAGAACTACGCGAATGACTTATTCACCTGGACGGAGGTAGTATTAAAGTTAGTACAAAGTTGACACACTTGTTTGGAGACGAAGGGAGTATTTGATAGCGATGTTTATATTCTTATTCTTCCTTTAAATGTGCATATTGTGAGTTTACGATAATACTCCATACATACTTATTAACCTTCTCGATTTGTGTACAATGATAGTACTACTATTTATGTCCTGATTCTCTCAATTCCCCTTTTCTTCTTCCAAAAGCTTGAGTCTGAAGCATGCGGCCCAAAACCTTTATCTTGTTTCATAATTCATTCACAGTGGGTGCCTAAAATACTCACCATAGGTATAGGAATATAGGATGATGTGGATATCCAATTTGCTGATTGTCCCTACCTGACTCGTTCACTGGAGGCTTTCTTGTCAGCAAAGTGGCAACCTTGGCATGCCTCAGCTAATTGCAACATAAAGCTACCTCCCTACACATATCCATCGCATATTTGCATCTGTCCTGCCCAGTTGACGTCCGAAGAATCTAACTTTCGGCACTTCTTATCTGCTAATTGTTCTTGGATAGAAAATTCTTTGCTTTCTTGTTTCAAAAAAATAAATAAAAATTCTTTGCTTTTGTTTTTGGAAGATCGATAGAAAATTTCTGAAAACGATCTGTCACGCGCACTAGTGAACCCACGTGGATCGATCATCCCACTGAATCCTTGTCGCCTAAAAGGGATTACTTATCTTATTACTAAAAAGAAGCAGGGCACTTGATCTCATTTCAGTGGCCCTTCTTGGCGCCCACTAGACATCCACAAAGTCCTCAACACATTTCTTATTTCTGCAACATGGGCGCAAACTGTTCAGTGCAAAAAAAATTGTACGAACTGTTTTCTTTCTCTCATAATGGTGATCAGCTGGGAAAGAATCTTGGCACATCATGCAATCCGCCCTGTCCCTGTATCATGCCTGAAATTTTGTTTGCGGGTGAATTAGCCGTCGCAACTGAGAACTATCATCTCTTAGTGTTGCGTGTGTGCATCTTTGCTATGCATAGGACGGGTGTCGGGTGTCCTCTCATGCTATATTTTAACTTTTTAAGTTAATAAAAGTGCCCTTTATTAGAAGAAGAAAAATCATCTAGGTTAATAACAACATTTATTCAAATTTGTTTTGATAACCATGGTATGAAAACTAATTATACATTTCCCTACCTGCAGATATGTTGCCGTCGGGAATGAGCCGTTTCTGTCGTCCCTGAATGGCACGTTCCTGAATGTCACGTTGCCGGCCCTACAGAACATCCAGAAGGCCCTCGACGAGGCCGGCGTCGGCGACACCGTCAAGGCCACCGTACCGCTGAACGCCGACGTGTACCAATCCCCCAAGGACAACCCGGTGCCGTCGGCCGGGCGGTTTCGGCCGGAGATCTCCGGCCTCATGACGGAGATCGTGCAGTTCCTCAACCAGAGCGGCGCGCCCTTCACGGTCAACATCTACCCATACCTGAGCCTCTACGGCAACGACGACTTCCCGCTGGACTTCGCCTTCTTCGACGGCGCCAGCTCCCCCGTGGTCGACGGCAACATCCAGTACACCAACGTGTTCGACGCCAACTTCGACACGCTCGTGTCGGCGCTCACGGCGGCCGGCGTAGGCGGCCTGCCGGTGATCGTCGGCGAGGTTGGCTGGCCGACCGACGGTGAAAAGCACGCCACGGCCGCCTACGCGCAGCGCTTCTACACGGGCCTGTTTCGGAAGCTGGCGAGCAACGCCGGCACGCCGCTGCGGCCCAACCAGTACATCGAGATCTACCTCTTCAGCCTCATCGACGAGGACGTCAAGAGCGTGGATCCGGGCTACTTCGAGCGGCACTGGGGCGTGATGCGCTATGACGGCCAGCCCAAGTACGCCATGGACCCGACCGGGCAGGGCCGGAACACGGCGCTGGTGGGGGCCCGGGGCGTGGAGTACCTCCCGCGGGTGTGGTGCGTGCTCAACGCCAACGCGGGGAACATGAGCAGGCTCGCGGACAACGTGGGCTACGCGTGCTCCAACGCCGACTGCACCTCGCTCAGCCTCGGGTCGACGTGCAACGGCATGGACCCCGCGGGGAACGCCTCCTACGCCTTCAACGCCTACTTCCAGGTGCAGGACCAGGACGAGCAGGCGTGCGGCTTCGACGGGCTCGCCGTGCGCACGCGGCAGGACCCCTCCACGGGCACCTGCAACTTCACCATACAGCTCGAGACCACCTCCGCGGCGGCGGGGCGGCCGACAGTTCTCTTGACGACGGCCCTGCTGGCCTTGGTTCTTGCGGCCATGGTGACCATGCTCTGAGCGCGAATCTGATTGCTATATATGGCGGTGCTAGTTAGTAGTGATTGGAGCAGTTAATTAACTATACAAGGAAGGAGCTAGCTAGATGTTACACACTTGTAGTTGTAGATATTCTTTTGGTTTGTATACGCGATACGCCACTGTAGTATGTATGTATGATCACAGGGGCCCATGGACCTCGGATTCCAAGGGTTTATTTAGATGTATAGCAAGAAAGATTGAGCACACGTCGTTGTCTTCATTGTGTCGTAGGGCGAGAGTCTATCACCTTGCTTGTGACTATCATTTGGGAGCTATGTTTGTGCCCTGCTTCGCCTCTGTCCTGGGTGGAGCTATGTTTGTGTAGGTGAATTCGTTGGTA